GATTTGATTTTAATCTATATATAAATATATATATATACATAATATAATTAATATAAATGAAGATGTTTGTTTGTTTGCTATTGACACCTTTGCTGTTTGACTGATTGCTACGAAACTCAGCAGTTACATTGAAATACTTCAAACTTACATCATGTTGTACTGTACATCTCACCCCAAATTATTGAATGGATTTCTATATATCAATTAATTTCTGTCTACATTTGATTGCTGGCTTTACATGTTGCCATCTATTGGAAAAAATTTAACAAAATAATTAACTAAATATAATTCTTACAAAAAAAGGTATAATTTTAAAAAATATATATTATATTTACTGAATTACTGCAACAATGATATAGTGTGAAATAGATGTGCCATTACTGCAACAGGTAGCACATAGCACTTCCTGCGTGGAGTGTAGTAGTTTTGCCCTATATATCACACTTTTCCTGTTAGCAATAGAGTTGTGCTGGTTATGTATCTAACTCCATTCAGGGAAAATTTTTGAATTGAAATACATGACTTGTGGTACAAATTGGAAGTTCATATATAGTTAATCTGGTCCTCTTTCATGTCTGGTTTCGACTTTTATGTATCTAACTGCATTCTTGAGATTAAGGATGGACAGAAATGGACAAATGACTGTGGAAATTTATAGGTCTACAGTTTTTTCAAATTGCAGCTCAATAAGTACCCTTCAGTAACCAAGTCAATAAAAACCACTGAACACTAGTAGTTGATCGTGGATTCACGCATGGTCAATGGACTGGCCATGTGGAGTTTTCTTTGCATTAATAACATCTAAATAGGATCCAGCTTTACATAGAAGTCTTCCCAGGATGCATCCTCCTTGGCAGATTGCATTGCCGTAACCAAATAAACCAAACCAATTCTAATAATTTTTCTATAAACACGATATTTATGAGGATATGCTTAACTACCAGGAAACTTGGACATCCTGCCCCTCTCCTGATTTCCTCTCCCCTTAGTAACTTATTAACCCATTGCACAAACTTCCTTCATTGATACTGCTTAAGATGTTCTAATGTTCAGTCAAATTAATATATAGTACATGCAATGATTTTAAGGCACAAAGTAGAGCTCAAAATCTTTTTCTATATTGATGTTTATTTTTTCTATTTATTATCATGGTGACATTGCTTTATTCAAAATTTTCTGTAGTTGTAGTCTGTGTAATGTGCACTTTTATTCACATGTTGAGTCTTACTGTCAAATCTGCTTCCAGTATGCTTATGCCACAACTTTCAAAACTTTCCTTTATTTAGATGTTTTTTCTGAGCTTTACTTTTTCAACCAGTTTCACCAGATTTTACAGGATTACATAAAAGCAACTATTCTCACATTTTACAAGATTTTTTTTATAATTAAACAAATCTTATATCAAGTCTTTTGGATGTTAAGGTTAGCAACTTCGATCACATGTGGGGCCATCATAATCTATCCAACATGGATCATTTTTCAAATATTAATAGTAGATCAGCATTAATTAGTAGTTGTTGATCATCTTTTCTCCTAGGAGGAGGTCAACTACTACTTTTGGTCGAATTAACTTTAACTTCCATTTGCAGCAGTTCTTTCTTCCTATCAGACCCATAGTATGGTGGCATTCAAATAGGAACATTACATAATGCAAGTTACCAGACTGCACAGAATATGATTTAAGTGGTTTTTAAGAGTGCTGAGTTTAAATATTTGGTCCATTTTTTGTGAAATTTGATTAGTTGGCAGATCACCATTTGGTTACAAATGAAACAGTTGTTAGTGCTGACATTAGAAAAAAATACAAGGATGTTTTTTTTTTTTTTTTTACTTCTGATGGTCCATAAAACAAAGACAAGTGTAAATAACAAAATGAATTTATTGCCAAAAGTTAGGTACAAACATGGTTACTTTTTGACATAATTACCATGAAGATTGAGACATTTGTCTATCTGTGTACAAGCGTCATAGAATGTTGCTGCCAGTGATTTACATGGGCCTTAACGTTGTTTTGAAGATAGTCATTAGTCTAAAACCGCTACCCTGCTAGCCAAGTTTTTAGTTCAGGAAAAAGGTGGAAGTCTTCACACATTAAAGGTTTGAAGACTGTCACCTTTCACACTTCCACCAAGCTTGGAACTTTTTAAACATCCAGCGTATAGCCCCGATTTAGCACCAAATGACTTCCACCTTTTTCCTGAACTAAAAATGTGGTTTGGAGGGCAGAGGTTCGAGACTAAAGATGAGTTTCAAAACAACATTAAGGCCCATCTCAAGTCACTGGCGGCAACATTCTATGAACAGGAGATTTGAAAGCTTGTACACAGATAGACAAATGTCTCAATCTTCATGGTAATTATGTCAAAAAGTAACCATGTTTGTACTTAACTTTTGGCAATAAATTCATTTTGTTATTTACACTTGTCTTTGTTTTATGGACCATTAGAAGTTGAAAAAGACAGCCTACATACAATATCTTACATTTTTAAGATATATTTTTAATTGGNTTCATGGTAATTATGTCAAAAAGTAACCATGTTTGTACTTAACTTTTGGCAATAAATTCATTTTGTTATTTACACTTGTCTTTGTTTTATGGACCATCAGAAGTTGAAAAAGACAGCCTACGTACAATATCTTACATTTTTAAGATATATTTTTAATTGGTGTCTATTTGACCAATGAAATTGTGCCGTATCATTCGATTATCATGATAAACATGAAAATGGTAAGCTAAAATAACCAAACTGTTTATACATTTTTGTTTTAATATTTGTTATATCATAGTATTTGATTTATATAACTACAAGGTTATCTTATGTAAGGGTTTATCCCACCAAGTGACCAATCTAACAATCTAAAATTTTTTTCATCTACTGTACACAATTTAAAGAATTTTTAAAATGTGTTAGATTGGTTGCTTGGTGTGATAAACCCTTGCATAAGATAAAGTTTGTAATTATATAAATTAAATACTATAATATAATATAATAGAAGGGTTAAAGTACGAAATATTTAATCTAATAATCTTAATGTTTGTACAGTACTTATTTTTTGCCCAGGCAACACCAGGCTTACTCACTAGTATCTTAATATTTAAACAATATGAATTTATTAAAAAAGAAATTAATTTTTAATAAAATTAGTGAATGATGACATTATCATACGAAAATCATTAAAAAGATAAATTAAGTGATTGTAATAAGAAAAATGTTATATATTATTTAATTGTATTTTTTTATTTTTTATATGCAGGAATATCATTGTTTTGGTTTATCTAATGAAGTTGTTGAAATGTGGACAAGAATTGCTGATTTATTTGAAAAAAATGGAGCAATAGTTTCATCAGTTTCTTTGCCACATACTCAGTATTCTATTGTTTGTTATTCTATTCTTAATTCTTGTGAAGTTGCTTCAAATTTTGCTAGATATGATGGAATTGAATATGGTAAGGAAATTTTCAAATATAGTTTGATCATTTTTATTTAAAAATTTATTAAATTAACAGGATGTGAAAACTCAAAATTTTATCAAAGTAATATAATACTTTTAACATAATTGATTAATTATCATCATCATAATATTACATTCTGTACACATCTATATTAACCAAAAAGAGCAGTGCCAAAATATTTTCTTAGAAATAGACTTAAAATTTATAATTTCATAATTCAGATTTAAATAACTAGCATTTATTCTGTTGAAGTCTATTGAGGTCTGTTCAGGTACCAGTAAGTGTTACTTAGTGGTATTGGGTGCAATAGCCAAATATAAACATCTGTAAGCCTGATAGTCGTATTGAAGCCAAACAATTGCCAGATTACATTGGGCTATATTCCTGCTATTATTAATACATAAATACTAAGTAATTTTGCCTAAAGGTAGGCATTAGATGCCATTTCTTTGTAAATTTAATANTCAGTTATTGAAATGGAAGATGATGATATTGGATAGTGAGAACAAGTAGTGAAATTATTCAGGAACTGAATCACACAATGTGTTTCAATATGTGTCAATATCACCTGCCATTTCAATAACTATTTTAGCATCATCTGATGGACAGAAATTAAACTATCAATGAATAAATAAGAAGCATTAAATATTCTCCTGGTATTATCATTTATACGGTTTTCCCTATCAGGAAATAAATTGTAAGCAGTATTTTTGGAGAAATCCTCATAACTTGTTAGAAATGCTTATTCAAATTTTTAAACTAGAGTAAGGAGAGTAATTTGTTATTATTATTATCATCATCTACTTGAAAGTTTAAAATTTATAATACAGTAATACCCCGAACTTACGCGATAGGTGGGACCGAGCGGTAACCGCGTAAGTCGGGGTATAATTTCCCATATAAATACATACAAATACTTTTTAATTGGGGCCGGAGACTAAAGAAAACAATAATTTAGAAAAAAATGTTTAATAAAATCTTAGATAATACATATGTATAACAAATTAGGCCTATATTATTTTACAATTTTTCACATTTACTTGATTATTACGCCATAATTTTAACATTGTTTCCATCTCAGCGATAATACCGTGACGTTTACGAATGATGCTTGAATTTAAAGATTGAGCATTTTTCACAGCTTCGAGAAT